TGTGAGTGCTCCAGACTCTTCTGAACCGGAGAAGACAGAAGATAAAAACGAAACAAAAATGCAAGGAGATGAAAAAGAAATGACAACTGATGTCAATCAATTAGATAAAAATGAAGAAAATGTAATTTTCGAAAGAGTTGAAGAAATTTCTGAGATAATAGAAAACGAAAAAATAGAACACGTACAAAAAGTGGATGAACATAATAACACCGATAAACAAGACCAAAAAGATGGTGATATCATCGAAAAGAAGGTCCTCACGAAAATTTCAATGAATAACTTAACTAATAATGAAAATGTGATTGATATCAACGAAGAAAACAAAACGCCCCCAAAAGATCAAGAAGAACAACAAAACGAAGAAAATGTTGTGAGAAGAAAAACGATCCATTTGGTGGTTTTCGAAACACTTAAAAAACTCATCAAAGAACACGAAGAAATAGTTGCCAAAGAAAAAGAAACTGAGAACGAAAAAGAACAAGAAAAAACACCAGAACGGCATGAAGAAGTTGAGAGAAATGAGGAGGTTGAAAGACAAAAAGAGTTGGAATTGGAGAAACAAAAACAACTTGAAGCCGAAAAACAAAAGGAACTTGCAAGAAAAAAGAAAATTGAAGAAGAAATTGAAAATGCACGAAAAATGATCAAAAAAAGATTAAACGCGAAAAAAACGAACTCACAACAATTTTCATCGCTAAATACTTCAAACCAATGCATTTCAACTCACACAAACCGATCAGAAGATGTAACAAATTCAACGAACTTAACACAATCACAAAGTACATATCAAAGTCCATATACAAGTGAAATGCAAATCACACGACAACAAAATTTCCAGAATTACAGGGAGTACGAGGATTATCAAAGATATTTGAGTTCTATGGGAAGTAGACAACAACAAAATTATAACACTGGTTATAATTATAATACTCGAAGCTATGACTATTACCCATATTCTTACACCAACTCTAATACAGAAAGGTCAGTTGGATATTCAAATCAATTTGATGGACCTTATGAGTATAACAGAAATTATGGAAGAATGTACGATAGAAGTTACTATGGATACCCCCGAAGTGCAGAAAACTATACAGTACCAACAACAGTCAGATTTCCAGAAACCTACTCCGCTTCAATGTACTTAGAAACCCAAAGAAGAGAGGAAGTGAGGAATTCTCAACAAAGTGCACCTGTTGTAACTGATATTGACGAGCTGCAAGAGGGTAATAACAATGAAGCAAATTTACCAAGTAGAGGCGAAGTTGTACGTGACATTGAAAAGGAGCAAAATAAGCAACTCAATACAATGGAAGTTGAAACTGAACAAACACAAAAAGAAAACAAAGAAAATGACGAAAATGAAGGTCTACTTAAAACAAAAACTGTGAAAAAGTCAGAACAATTAAATGTATTTGAAAAGAGAGGAAGAGAATCGGTGATGCGCAAGAAAGTTCAATTGATTTACTCATTGAATGAATTAAAGGATTATTACTTCTATGGAGACGCTTCTTTGACATGTTTAGAACTTCCAACCACAATATCAAAAATTGGAAAATATTGTTTTGGGTGTTGTAATAACCTTGGAAAAGTTAATATAGTTGCTCCACTTATGCTCTTTCCTCCATACAACTTTTATATGTGTTTTACACTATCGGCTGTCACACTTCCATCAACATTAAAATCACTTGGAAACTTTTGTTTTGCTGAATGTCAATCATTGAGGGTTTTGGAACTTCCTGAAGATTTGACGGAAATTGGAGCTAACTGTTTTTTAGGGTGTAAATCCCTTTGTAAATTGAAAATTCCACAAAATGTTGAAAAGTTAATGAATTCAACGTTTTCGGGATGCGAAAAACTCGAAGAAATTGTTATACCAAAAAGTCTTTCAGAGTTGGGCAAAAAATGTTTCTTTCATTGTGAGAAATTAAAAGAAATCAATTTGGAAAATGTTGTTAAAGTCCCTTCAAAATGTTTTGCAAATTGTTTTTCACTTGAGAATATCAACATTGATCAATGCACCACTTTTGGGGAGGGCGCTTTCAAAAATTGTTTGGAACTGATTTTGTGTGCCGATGAAATTGGTTGTTCATTTGAAAAAGGATGCTTTGAAAATTGTCGAAATGTTACTATTATCAAAAATAATGGACAAACAATGACTTCACCGTTCATTGATTAATTTGATATAATTGTAGTTTAAATTGTTCTTTCATTGTTTTTAGATGAAGTTGTTCTTTGATATTTATGTAACATTAATAAAGTATTTTTCATGCTAATGAAGTGAATTGATGCCACAATATATAAAGTTATTGTTGATTGAATATTTTCTAAATTGATCAATTCAATCAATTGATATTTAATTGGTATTTAATTAAATCAATTATTATTTTAAATAACAACACTTATTAATAATATAACTATAAATCACTCATTATGTTATTGTTTGGATGTTGTTTCCTGTTTTTTGGGCAATTCCCTCACTACACCGTTTCTTCTGTTTTTGGCGTCTTCTTTTAGTTTTGCTATTTTTACAGCCTTTTGTTGTGCAGCAACTGGACAGAACTTTTGTGCGTGACCAACTTCTCCACAAACATAACATGGAACCATCTTTTTCCCATATTTATTGAACGCGACGACGGAAAGTTCTTTACCTTCAAAATTGTATTTGTCAAGTTTCTGTCTGATTTTGTTCAGTGTCTTAAGGTCATCCACTTCTACTTCGACATCACCCTTCAATTGTCCAGCTTTGATAAATTCCAATTCAACGCTATTGAATGTGAATTTTTTGAAATACTCGATTAACTCCTCTTTGGACTTTTCTGGATTGTAAGTAATGCGCAAAGTCGTTTGCATTTTGTCCTTTGGATCAACCACGACTTCCATAATCTTTTTACACCATTTTTTATTGTTCCCAAACTTTATGACGTCTGCAGAAATCACAGAGTTGTCAGTTGTGACAACACAAACACCACTTGGAATGTCTGTTTCATGGCGTGGGATTTTAAGGGAAATAACAGAAAATCCGACCAAAAGATTGTTGATGGCAATGTCAGTTGTTTCTGGGTTTAGCCCACGAATTTTAATTGATGGAGTCTTCTTTTCTTTTGTTGTCATTCAAAAACTTTTAATTTTTTAGTCAAGAACAGGGTTGTTCGTGTTTTTATTTTAGTTTTTTCTTAAAATAGTTTTTTAATAATACAATTGTTATTTTAATTAACCCTTAACTTGCCAACAATCGTATACTGCTCATTTTAACGGTATTTCGAAATTTTATCCCAAAACTATATCAAAAATTTAGGAAAAAAATGAGGTTAGTATCCGAAAAAAACAAACTAATATATTAACCCTTCCAGTACCAAAAATTTCCAAAAAATGTAAACTTATTTATATCTTATTCATTTTGAGTGTATATTAGAAAAAAATAATGCAAAAAACGCTTTAAACTTTTAACAACCATGGGAAATACCAGAAAACAAAATTAATAGTAAAAAATAATTTAATTTACTACATATTAATAGTAAATTTTGACCTAAAATCGTATTTTTGTTAAAAAAGGTTCATTTTTCCTGTGAGGAAAACTTGACTAATTTTCCTGTTATTTTTTTCAAGTTAAAAATTGTTTTCTTTTTATATCAAAAATTTGTGTATAGTATAATAAACTATACAAATTAATTCTTTCTGAAAATAGGGGTTTAAACTAAAAAAACGGATCAAATAAAATTCTGATAAAAATTCTTTTATTGAAAAACAAGAGATACGCCATACTTTGAAAATTCCAAAAGTAATTATTTTAATTTAGTTTATATTGTAAATGTTTTGATGTTTTGTAACTCTCGTGTAAAAAGTTGACATTTTATTGAATTTTAATATTTATAAAAAACAATCAAATGTTATGATATTAGTCGTGCAACCACACTGATGCTTAGCGTTTTTATTTTATAACCTTTTGTTGAGAATCATATGTATACGAGATATATTTACGCATTTTTTTCTAAACTATCATTTTAAAAAATCATTTTCATTACTCAAAATAAATCAAATGTATATAAACAAAATCGCTACCTTTTTCATATTTTAAAGAAAGAACATTTATATACATTACTCTAAATTATTATAAAATATATGTTATAACTAATATGTATGACCCTTGATATGATCTGTAAGATTGTGCGAGTTGAGGACTTGTGTGACTATATCATCTAATTTCTGGTGAGGTTTGCTCTTCACTGTTATCTCAAGGTTAACAATCCTTTGTTCCATTGTTGTTTGTGTTTGTTGGATTTCCTTGAGTGTCTTGTCAAAGTCATTTAACCTGTCAGTTAGCATCTTTTTCAAGTCGTTGATGCATTTCTCGTATTAATCAGGTTGTTTGGGATTATCATCGTGTGGTATTATGATGATTTCCTTTTCATAAGTCGACTTCTTAGGCGCAATTTCATTTGTTTTTTTTGGGCTTTTTGCACTTTTCTCTCCATTTTTCATTCCTGGCTTTACTGGCTTTTTGAAACAATCGACTTTGCTTTGATTTTGTACCTTTTAGTTTCCGGTTATCAACTACCTTAGTTCTGGTTGCTGAGGTTGTGTGGCTCCTTGGTTGACCTTTAGGGACCTCCCCACATGAAACCGTCACCTGACTAATTTCACTACCCTTATTCGCGGGAGAAATTGTAAGCGAATACTTCATTGGCTGACCTTGCGGGCCTCGGTATTCTGTTGTAGGTTACTTATGTACTCTGATCGCAGCTCCATCAATTCCTTGAAAGTTGTTGATCCTTTCTTTCTAAACGATCTCATCGTCTTCGTTGTTGTTACCAGGTATATTACATCTAGAAATGGAAGCACAACAAACGGAAGGTAACTGAACGATACAACATTGAGCTTCCCTTTGTTCATCATCAACTCTACCTTGGATAAGGTGAGTGAGCGTGACTTGAATCTGTTGATGAACTCCGCCCGTCCACTTCGTAAGTTAAAAATGAACATTTTTTTACCTTGGCGGGGGTAGGGATCGAACCACTTGTCCCTTTCAAAATCTTTTTTAACGACGACCAATCGGTCAGAAAATTTTTTTTACATCAAAAAGAGGGTTCTCGTTCATGTTTGTATGGATCTTTTAAAATGACATAACAAATATATGTAATATAAAAAAATGTTCACAATATTCCTCAATTCATGTATTTGTAAAGATATACATATAAACATGTGCATATTTATTATTATAATAATATAATAGTTGACTTTTATGTTTTATAGCAAAAATGTTCAAATATTAAATATACATTTTAAATAATATTTTTCATATATTATACAATCTTATATTTTAAATAAAAATAAGATTGTATATATTCACTTTGATTCATTTTAAAATTTCTGAAATAAAAATAACTTATTTAAATTTATTATAATTTTTTATTTCTTTTGGGTTAATAATTATTTGAATTTAATTGAAATACAAATAAATATAAAATATAAACCATCTGATGAAAAATAATATTTTTATTTGTTTGTAAAGTTTTGGAAAGTTTGTTTTTGTTTATTTTGTAATGAATATATACAAAATACTGTTTATACAGTCAAACATCGTTTCCCCCCAAACCTCGACAATTTCAAAGATCGGATTGTTTGTTCGAAGTTTTTTTGGAAAAACGCGAAATAATCTTAGAGGTGTTAACTCAACAACTGTTTAAAGTTAACCATATAAAAATATTTTTTTTTTCATTATTTTTATGTTGACCATTTGTTTTTTCTTTCAATTAAATTTTATAATTTGAAAATGAAAATGAAAACATGAAATATAACAAACAAAATAATCAATAAAATAAAACTGTTTTAACAAAAAGTATACTTAATGTTTAACTCTGACAATAAAAATCAAATGAAATAATAACTTTGGATGTAAAACGATTGTTGTCAAAACACAACTTAAATATGATAATAAAAAAACTCGAAAAAATATTAGAGTACCGTGAAAAATCACTACGGCGTGAAAAATTACTGCGAATTGTTATTTGTCAAAAATAATGTTATTAAGGGTTTTAAAACATTTTGGGTTAAATTTTTTTGTTATTCGAGGCTGTTAAAATGAAAAACGACAATTTTGTTCTACAAAATCTTTTGAGGCTAAGTCAACAGATTGTGTTAAGAGGAAACAATGGTGTTTTTATATACTTTTTATGAGGGTTTTGTTTTTGTCTTTTTCAATTGCAAAACAAAACGTTTTTATTTTTTTGTTATTACAAAAAGATAAATTTTAAATTATGGTTTCGAATATCCAAAAAATTATTTTACCAAGAAAAAATATGTTTTGATATTTTCAAAATGTGAATAAATGTACCAATAATTGATATTTATTTACCCGTTACATCGATTTAAAAAATAAAATTTTATTGGACAGTACATATATTTGATAAATTATAAACACCTTTCAACAATAAAGTTTTGCTAAATAATGTATTATTGGTGAAGATTAAAAATACAAATAAAAAATCGTCTTCATAATTTTAATAACCAAATAATCACTTAACAATATGATTTCATTCTGATGTATAAAATGAATTCCTTGGTTAATTTTATATTGATTTGTTATTTGAAAAATCGTTACTCAATGTCTTGTATATGTTTTATGAAAGTCGTTGATTTTTCGATTAAAAATTTAAAGAAAGAATCTAACACGTCACACAGTGACACAAAAAATGGTTTAAAAACAAAATGAATAAACAAATAATGATGTATTTAATAGCAACATCTGTAATATATAAACTGTTCAGTAAATATTTGACATGTTGGTTGTATGACCACTGTCTATTTTGATTGTAAAATGATGTGGAAATACAATCACAATTCACATCAAATAAATCAAACAATGAACTATTAATATAGTATAAATATAATTAAAATATAATAAACAACAAACAAGTGAAATAGTTAATCAACATGCAAATTTAATTAACATCAACATAACAATTACATAAATTTATAATTAAACAACAATAAGTTATAATTTATAATTTTTAAATGTGAAACTATATTTTAATAATTATTATCATATAATTAAACTAGTCGATTAATTATGGATAATTTTATTATAAATTATCATTATTTTAAAAGGGTTAATACACCAGAACCCCAAACAACTTAATTCTTTCATTTCAACAAATTGTTTATTTTTTTAAAACAGGTGTGATTAAATAATTATACCCGACAAACCCACGCTCGTTAACCGTTTGTTATCATCAAATATATTTTTATTAATTTATTAATATGATATATTCATAACACGTTTTTATATTATATCTATATTCACTTTATTGTATTACAATTGTTGTTTTAATAATAATATAAATGTTAATACGTTTATTCCATCTAAAATTATTCGAGTTTATATTACTGTGCATTTCTATATAATTATAACGATAAAACATATTGTTTTTGATTATAAATTATGTTTATACAATAAAAGTTAGTAATTTGAATATTCCCAGCATAAAATAACGCGTAGCTGAAAAGAAATCAAATTAAGTTTTATAAAAACCAAAGAGTGGATTAATTATTTAAATATACG